ATCCAGTACTACAACTCCTCTGACACCATCTACAACATCTGAAATTTCATCTACAACTAGTATATCTTCTGGCACAACACCTACTTCAACAGCCACTCCCAATACTACAACTCCTCTGACACAATCTACAACATCAGAAATGTCATCTACAACAAGTACAACTTCTGGCACAACTCCTACTTCAACATTTACAACCACATCCATAACTCCTCCGACGCCATCTACAACATCAGAAATATCCTCTACAACTAGTACTACTACTGGCACAACTCCTACTTCAACATTTACAACCACATCCAGTACTAAAACTCCTCTGACACCATCTACAACATCAGAAATGTCATCTACAACTAGTACAACTACTGGCACAACTTCTACTTCAACATTTACAACCACATCCGTTACTACAACTCCAACGCCATCTACAACATTAGAAATATCTTCTGGCACAACACCTACTTCAACAGCCACTCCCAATACTACAACTACTATGACACCATCTACAGCAACTGAAATAAAATCCCCAACTAGTACAACTACTGGCACAACTCCTACTTCAACAATTACAACCACATCCATAACTCCTCCGACGCCATCTACAACATCAGAAATATCCTCTACAACTAGTACTACTACTGGCACAACTCCTACTTCAACATTTACAACCACATCCATAACTCCTCCGACGCCGTCCACAACATCAGAAATATCATCTACAACCAGTACAACTACTGGCACAACTCCTACTTCAACATTTACAACCACATCCAGTACTACAACTCCTCTGACACCATCTACAACATCTGAAATTTCATCTACAACTAGTATATCTTCTGGCACAACACCTACTTCAACAGCCACTCCCAATACTACAACTCCTCTGACACAATCTACAACATCAGAAATGTCATCTACAACAAGTACAACTTCTGGCACAACTCCTACTTCAACATTTACAACCACATCCATAACTCCTCCGACGCCATCTACAACATCAGAAATATCCTCTACAACTAGTACTACTACTGGCACAACTCCTACTTCAACATTTACAACCACATCCAGTACTAAAACTCCTCTGACACCATCTACAACATCAGAAATGTCATCTACAACTAGTACAACTACTGGCACAACTTCTACTTCAACATTTACAACCACATCCGTTACTACAACTCCAACGCCATCTACAACATTAGAAATATCTTCTGGCACAACACCTACTTCAACAGCCACTCCCAATACTACAACTACTATGACACCATCTACAGCAACTGAAATAAAATCCCCAACTAGTACAACTACTGGCACAACTCCTACTTCAACAATTACAACCACAACCATTACTACGACTCCTTCGACGCCATTGACAACAACAACAGAAATAACATCCACAATAACATCTTCTGGCACAACACCTACCTCAACAGCCACTCCCACAACTACTATGACACCATCTACAGCAACTAAAGTAAAATCTACAACTAGTACAACTCCTCACACAACATCTGCTTCAACAGCAGTTACATCGCATCCACCACCCATAGTTCGATGTTATGATTGTACAATCATAAATGGAACCGCCATGCCTGTTCGTCAGAATTGTCTTCCACCACAAAACATCACTTGTCAAAATCACCAACCAAGTGTGCTTTTTGAGGATGATCACAATTGTTGCCCTTATTACGTCTGTGATTGTAAGTACGCTCTTCTACTCAAGCTCTAAATTTGTTGTCATCAGAGTAATGAAATATATACTGATGTCCTCTTTTCAGCTGTCACTTTTACTGTACAGGCTGTACCAAATGTATAAGACTTTCTTTTTTGAGATGAAGACAAACTAATTAAAAGTGTCTGTCTCTTTGAATTCATCAAACACAAGTGAAAACCAACAAACAAAACCAAAAAAACATAAGTAACCCGTGCTCCAGTGGATGAATTAAGTCTTCTCAAGCAATAAAAAGCTTGTGTGTGTGTAAATAAGAACTTTAATATGCAAAATGCTAGTTTAACTTAGTATAAATAAAGAACTTACAGTTTACTGTGATGCATTCACTATTCATGAGCATGAGCATATCTAACTTTTCCATTAAAATATACATGTTATGTTTTGCTGAAACAAAGAAACTCATATACACGTGGGACATCATTAAAATGACTAAATTATTATAATTTTTTAGCAAAAAATCATTTTATTATTTAAAAGGAAAAGGATCTAATAATTATTAGTCCCTAACCTATTTTATTGTACACCCTCTACTAATCATAGGCTTTTGCCAAGGCTGGGGTGACTCCCATTACATCACATTTGATGGACTCTATTACACTTACAAGGAAACTGCACTTATATTTTAATGAAGGAAATTAACCCAAAATTCAACTTAACAATCTACATTGAGAAAGTCTACTGTGACCCTGCTGAGAGCGCATCCTGTCCCAGATCCCTTATTGTGTCTTACAACGAACAAAACATTACACTTAGGAGTCACATGCTAATTGGAGGAGCAAATCTAGAGGTGAGATTTACTGTATAGCAGGACTGAACAAATATGTTTTTAAGTCTTTTCTCTTCACTGTCTTGTAAATGTTTCATTTGTTCTTGTCTGTTTTTCATAAGGCTCTGGAAGGTAATGACATGCTAGCACTACCATATGTTAATAATGGCCTGAGGGTTATTAGCTCAGACCTGAACTTATTACTAGAGATTCCAAAACTCAACGCCTATGTACTATTTGGAGTCTCTGGCTTCAGCATCAACCTGCCATTCCAGTATTTCGGAAAAAACACAGAAGGTCAATGTGGTAAGTCAGCACACTAAAAAAAAAATCTGGTAACACTTTATAATAACTACACACTATAAATAATTTATTACGCATTAGCAAATAGTGAACTCAATATCTGTTAAGCATTAACTCTACATTAATAAGTGTTAGTAAGCAGTTTATAACTGCAGCTACAAATGCTCCATTCTTGACTTATAAGCACCTATATAATGTGTTTAATGATTGTATTTTTATACTTAGTTAATGATTTATTTTTCATTACTAAATTAAGTATCGAAATATTTACAAACTGTTTGTATTTAAGAGTAGTTGAGGGTTTTTAGGATCATTCAGAATGAGTTAGTAAATGATTAATAAACTAATGAAATCAACATTTATATGTCTTATTATTCAGGCATATATTAATAGTTACTCTATATGTTAATAAATGCTTTATTAACTCAACTTCATGCAGTTTTGTGACCTAATCTAAAGTGAGGACTATTCATGCTTTATAAATCCCTTATAAATGACAAATAAAGGCTCAGTTAAATTCTAAACAGGAAAATAATAAATTATTAATTTCTCTTCATTTAAAGATACACAAATGAAACTGTACTTCAAATGAAAAATAAATCTTTACAACCTTTTCTAAAATAGAATCACTGTGGTTTAAACATTACATCCTATTATAATGTTAAATTATTATATTGTTGTAGTTTTATCCAGTTGGATGTCATATTTTGACACTCCTGTTATTTTGCAATGTTAAAACTTTACAGTAATTTTACTTTTTAGAAAGATTGTGCAGATTATCGTTCATTTGATACTGAGCCTTTAATATTCTTTTATAAGGCATTTATAAAGCATGAGTAGTCCTCACTTTAGATTAGGTCACAAAACTGCATGAAGTTGAGTTAATAAAGCATTTACTAACTTATTAGTTAACTATTAGTATATGCCTGAATAATAAGACATATAAATGTTGATTTCAATAGTTTATTAATCATTTACTAACTCATTCTGAATGGTCCTGAAAATCCTCAACTACTCTTAAATACAAACGGTTTGTAAATAATTTGATACTTAATTTAGTAATGAAAAATAAATCATTAACAGAGTATGAAAATACAATTATTAACCACATTATATTGGTGCTTATAAGTCAAGAATAGAGCATTTGTAGCTTCTGTTATGGACTGCTTACTAACGTTTATTAATGTAGAGTTAATGCTTAACAGATAATGAATACACTATTTGCTAATGCTTAATAAATGATTTATAGTGTGTAGTTATTATAAAGTGTTGCCAAAAATCTTTGAGGTGAAATAGTTTAGTTCATATCAGGTAAAAGAATATTTTATGGACATTTTAGAAAAAAAAATGCATTGTGTTTGAAAAAACAATATGTGGACGTTAATATGATGGTAAATGTTCTTGAGCACTATGAATATTAACTGTTCCAAATAATTCTTACTAAGGAACATGCAACAACAACCAGAATGATGACTGCCCCGGATCCTTGGCAAAAGACTGTAAAGGAATGGCAGAGAACTGGAATACTACAGTTTGCACTCCACCAACTCCATTACCTACAGCTGCACCTAGAGCTTCACCTACAGCTACACCTACATCTACAGCTACACCTATAGCTACACTTAAAGCTACACGTACAGCTGCACCTACAACTACACCTACGCATACAGATGCACCTACAGCTATGTCTACAGATGCATATACAGCTTCACCTACAGCTGGACCTTCAGCTACACCTACAGCTACGCCTACAGCTGCACCTACACCTGGACCTTCAGCTAAACCTACAGCTACGCCTACAGCTGCACCTACAGCTGGACCTTCAGCTACACCTACAATTGAGTCACCCCACTCTGACTGCTACCTACTTAACACCACGTCAGTACTTTCTGTGTGCTGTAATTAAAGGAATCTCTACAAACTTTGCATCTTGAAAGTGATATTTGCTTTTAGTAAACTTTCTGCATTGTGACCATTCTCAGGTTTGAAGCGTGCCATCCCCACGTGCCTCCTGAAAACTTCTTTTCAGCCTGTCAATATGACAGCAGTAATAACCCTGCTGGAGTGTGTGCTAGTCTGCAGAGCTACGCAAGCGTTTGTGCAATGTTTGGGGTCTGCATATACTGGAGGAACTACACAAGCCAATGCAGTAAGTTCATGAATAAAATAAATAGATTTCATTTAGGTTATATAAAAATCAGATCAGTAAAGCAAGTAAATATTCTGAAAGATACATTTCTTTTTCAGATATTGGATGTTCAGAAGATAAGGTGTTCTTGCCTTGTGGTTCATTTGAACCGCCAACATGTAGAGATAGGTATGGCCTTTTTTCTTCAATAGTTGATATGGTTGTGGGAAATCTATATGGTAACACTTTACTAATTAGTGGCATACTATTTGGCCAAGATATGTTTTTGCTTTCATTATTACCCCATTAAGATAGGATGTCAAGTCAAACGTACATATGATTTACTTTCACCTAAAACATTGAGGTTCAGTATGATCTCACTGACATTTAATATTTGTTAACAGAAATATAATCTTAGCAGAAAGTTGGAATTAGCATCTCTGGAATAAAATATCCCCTGATTACAATATTAATGTGTTAATTGATGTATTGCAAGTAACACACTGTAAAACTTTGCTTGCAGACAAATGGAGAGCAACATTACAGTGTCCACAGAAGGCTGCTTCTGTAGTCAGAACACAACACTCTTCACCAAGGATTCTGGAGTCTGTGTGCCACAACCCTGCGGTGAGAAGCCATAGTCTCTGTCTTATTACCATACCCCTTTATATGAACTAACGGATAAAAAATCTTGTCGCCTATCCAAGTTTTAGGAACATCAAATAATACCTTGACTTCTAGTTGATCATTTGGTATCAGAAGGAAAAATAAGTGGAAAAATAATGAATATTGTGTACGACTCCCATGTGGTTGAAGGACTGCATCCATACATCTCTGCAATGACTCAAATCACTTGATTTAATTAATAAAATCCTCTGGAATGGCAGAGAAAGCAATCTTGCAGGACTCCCAGAGTTCATCAAGATTCTTTGGATTCATCTTCAACCTCCTCCATCTTAACCCAGACATGCTTAATAATGTTCATCTCTGGTGAGTGGGCTGGCCATCCTGGAGCACTTTGACCTTCTTTGCTTTCAGGAACTTTGCTGTGGAGGCTGAAGTATGAGAAGGAGCGCTATTTTGCTGAAGAATTTGCCCTCGCCTGTTGTTTATAATATTACGGGCAGCAAAAATGTCTTTATCTCAGGCTGATGATTCGACAGATGATTCATCAGAAAAATTGACCGTCTGCTACATTTTTAAATGATTAACAAGAAGTCAAGTAATTATTTGTTGCTCTAACAATAGGGGTCGACGACAAGACTTTTGTCAGGTAGTGTAACTAGATTATTTGGTCTACATCTCAGATTAGAGTCTACATGTTTAACAGCCTTTTCACTTGGCTTTTCATAAACAACCCAGCTAAAAAGTCAGCTTGGCCGTTTACCAGTATAAGGTTTATTAAATATGCTGGGAGCTGAATGGTATGCTGGTTGATAGTTTGCTGGTCCCTAGTATGGGGAATGTGGGTGCTAAGCCACACCAGCTCAAATTAGCTTACAAACAGCATGATTTTGTTGGTCCACCAGCTAGACCAGCATTACAGCAGCTCTAACCATACAAACCAAACTGGACCACCATAGAATTCAGGCTGGTTTAAGCTGGATTTTTTTTCAGGGTAGTGTTATGCATCTTTTTGTTTTTCCTGAATGGACTTTTCAGAATATAAAAAGTAAGAATGAAACATCTTCTTCTCAATATCCGCTCAAATAATCAACCATTTTATGCATGGTTCATTGCATATGTTAATATGAGGTATGTAATTGGGATCAGATTATTTACAGTGTCTTTGAATTTCTTGCTTATTTAACACTGAACATATGTGTGTCTCTGCACTGTGGGATTTTACACTTTGAAAGAGCGGGGTGTCGTGACCTCGTGTTGCTGATCCTGTTTGGAAATTTAGATGTGAGATGTTCAATAATAAGGGTGGCATGGTGGCTCAGTGGTTAACACTGCCGCCTCACAGTAAGAAGGTCGCTGGTTCGAGCCCTGGCTGGGCCAGTTGCCATTTCTGTGTGGAGTCTGTTCTTCCCTTGTAGGCGTGGGTTTCCTCTGGGTGCTCCGGTTTCTCCCACAGTCCAAAGACATGCCCTGTAGGTTTTTTTTTTGTTTTCTTTCCAGCTTAGTCCCTTTATTAATCAGAGGTTGCCACAGTGGAATGAACCGCCAACTTATGCAGCATATGTTTTACGCAGCGGATGCCCTTCCAGCTGTAACCCAGTACTGGGAAATGCGCTGTAGGTGAATAGACTAAATTGGCAGAAGAGTATGAGTGTGTATGTGTGTTTCCCAGTACCGGGTTGAGTACTGGCAACCTCTGAAATAGAGACTAAGGAATGAATGAATGGTTAATAATAAGCAAGTGCTAAGAATAAGTGAAACCCTTAGTCTAATATCTTTTAGGCTAGTCTGAATTTGGCAGTCTTGGTTGAATTGGAAAGGTGTTTGGAAGTTTAGGAACTTCAACAAGTCCCTAAAAAGAAATATAAAGATAACTTGCACCTGCATCCCATAGCTTATTCTAAGAATGTATGTGTCTTTTCTTGTAGGATGCTTGGACCAATCTGGGGAACCAATTGAGGTACACAAGGTTTAAACCTGTTCAATAGTGACTTCCTGAAAGAGCATCCCTGTGCCATTATGCAATTTTTGTTTTTTGTTTGCTGCAGTTTAACAAGAATTATACGCACAACTGTGAGGACTGTGTCTGTGATAAAGCCAGGATGTCAGTGATCTGTAAACCCAAAAAGTGTCCCGATTTGCCTCCTGTGAACTGCACTGAGCCCTTCATGCTGGTCAATGTCACCGATCCATCAGAGCCATGCTGCAGCAGACAAGTTTGCAGTAAGAAACTGGGTTTGCTTCAGAATTATGTGTGTTATATGACTGAAGCCTCCTCTCATTCTGTTTCATGATGTGGATTGTAGCATGTGCCCACTTTAAGAGAAAAGTGTGGGGTCGGATTTGAAATAATTGTGCACCCTAATGGAGACTTCTGTCCACAAATCTGATGCGCTATCACTATTTGTTCTATGCACTTCATTCAGGTTGTTTGTTTGGCATGAATCTACTGAGACTCTCTTTAATGTGTGTGTGTGTGTGTGTGTGTGTGTGTGTGTTGCTTCTACAGAGCTAAAAGAACTGTGTGACTTCAACAACACAGAGTGTAAGGTAATTAAAAACATGAATTTGTTAAACAAAACAATTCTATTTAACTTTGCTTTTTATATTAACGTGGACTTGGTCATTGCAGCCTAATTGTGATCTCACTTCACATTGATTTTAAAGGGGTGGTGAAGTATTTTTAAGGCTTGGTTGTTTTAATAAGATGCAAAGCAATGTGTTTTCATGCTTCATTTGTAAACAAAAAATCACATAATTTTTTATATATCTTGCTTTGATTTTATAAAGCCATATAGCTTACATGAAAGCGATTGCCATATTTCCTATTTCCTCCAAAAAGCCCCCCCACAAGAGGCTCTGATTGGTAAGCTAACATAATATACTGTGATCCGCATATCCGCTCCATGTTACGCGTTCATGCCTTCAAGCATGCGCTTTTTGTGCTGTGTAAACAGTCAGTCAGAGAAGCTGTTAGCCAAAGTGGTTTGTGCTTGAATCTGACAAAAAATTAAGAGTATACAGTCCGCTTGTAAGTGTGACGTAGTGCAAAGTGGCTTCCAGGTCCAATCACTCTATCAAACTGTAAGGAGAGACTCATCAAATGGTAATAATAAACATTTGCAGTGGTTATATCTGTCGCCTCACAGCAAGAAGTTCGCTGGTTTGAGTCCCGGCTGGGCCAGTTCGGCATTTCTGTGTGGAGTTTGCATGTTTGTGTGGGTTTCCTCCAGGTGATCAGGTTTCCCTCACAGTCCAAAGACATAGGGGAATTTAATAGATAAAGTTAGCCATAATTTGAGTGTGTATGGGTGTTCCCAAATACTGGCATCCCCTGTGTAAAACATATTCCAGTATAGTTGGTGGTTCATTTCGCTGTGGCGATCCCTGATAAATTAGGGACTAAGCCAGAGGAAAATGAATAAATGAATACTTCTACTGTTTTTAATTTTAATTACATTATTTATAGGGCTAATTTAAACTTCAATTTATGGTAACAATCAAAACGTGCAGTCTAATGCTTGTCAACATTGCACCGCGCATGTGTCCCAGAGACGTCTGAATACAGTGAAGAAAGTAGTGATGATGGAATGATCATTTCTTCCTGATAGATTGGATCAAAAATTGAATGATCCACCACTTCCAATTCAACTAAAAGTTCAATCGGTTCCATAACTGCATTTATGTGAATGTTTTTATTAATCCAATTGATCCATCAATCTGATTACAAACTAATTATTTGGGTGCATGTAACAGTAACCAATGAATCTTAAGTCAAAGAACCACACTTTGGGCATTGCAAGATAAGGTAAATACATTGAAAATATAGTTTCACTTTGTTCCATCTTTTCTTCTTTCTAGCCTGGGACTAAAATCCACGTAGAGCCTTGTGTTGAATGTAACTGTAAATTGGACCCATCGACTGAACTATATCAAATGAATTGTTTTCCTGAAGTGTGCCCTGATGACAAGTGCCCTAAAGTAAGTTTGCATTGTGGTCTGTTTGCATGAGTGCTGCTGTCTGGTTTGAAAATACAGTAAATAGTACAGTTCCTGCTCTAAATAACAAATTTTCTCCCCATAGGGGTTTAAATATGTGAAACAAGACGGAGAGTGCTGTGGAACATGTAAACTAATGAGCTGCATTTATTATAGAGAGAACAACACTAAACACATTCTTCATGTACGTTTAACAATATTTTCAAACTCCTCTCTTTTATTTAATCATATGTCAAAGTCTTAACGTACTCTGTCTTTTGTTAGGATGGAGATGTGAAGAATTTTACATGTGAAACTGTTTCCTGTCATGAAATAAATGGCTCTTATTTGATTGAGAAAACCAAAACAGTGTGTCCGTACTCGAGTGCGCACGTCTGTGAGTATGTAAGTAGGATCTCCTCAACTCTACACACCACACACTAATTTTGGCTATTACTTATTTTAAGGTCTTCCAATTATTGAGGATGTTTGCAAAGCCACAATGAAGCACTGTGTGATTACATATGATATTCAGTTCTACACAGTTCATTTAAATCATAGTTATTTTTGTCATAGTTCATAATTAAAGAAGTAGTTTACTCTAAAAATGAAATAAATGTGAAGAGTTCAGATGCAAAAACTGTCACAAAATTTCCTCTAAAATGAGCATTTTTACCAGGCTCCTGTGTGTAGGTTCAGCAATATCACATTAAAGCAAAGAATATGTTCTTTTCCTGGTCTTTAAAGTGAAATATCTCAACATAAACAAAGAAGGCTGGGAAAATTGTAATTTTTGAGGGCATTTTTAGATTTTGCAACTGAACTCTTCATCTGTACTTACTTACCCTGGTGTTGGTGGTGTTTTCCCAGTCGACAATTTTGGGGTGGGGTTGGGGGGGGGGGGGGGGGGGGGGGGGGGGGTTGGGGGGGTAAGATACCAATCTCAGAATAGTCCCATGAAACTGAACTTGTATTCCAAGTGTTCTGGGGTTATTCAGTGGGATGACATGAAAAAACAACAACATGAAACTGAATTTCATATTTAACAGAAATCCTGACTTTGGTCACCATTCTTTTTGCAGAATTGTACATTCATGGAATTTCATGAGTTCAATCTTAGCCCAGGCAGAGCACACAAGTGACAAGATGACACGACAATGGCAATGTGTACAAGCTTTAGTCACCTCAAGTACTTTAGTATTTAGATTAGATGAAACAAGCCAATAGGATTATATTGGATAATATTTAGATTCCCAAACATTTCTTAGATTTATGCTCTGTAATGTAAGATTGAGTCAACTGTAAAGTTATTTGTAAATAAGAACATTAAAACCTTATCCTTAACATCCACTGCTGCTGAAATATTAAACTAGAGTACACTATAAACTTGTTTTTCCACTCCAAGGGGTTTGAATATGTGACGAAAGAAGGCGAGTGCTGTGGAACATGTGAACCAGTGGCCTGTATTTATCAATCACCAAACAACACCATACATATTCTCAAGGTACATTGGAAACCACTCTCTATATTTTCTTCATTGAGACAGCTCATTAACCCTCATGTATCTGTCTGTCGTTTTGTTTAGGATGAAGAAAAAATTGAACATGAATGTCAAACTGTTACCTGCAATCAGATTAATGGCTCATTTGAGATGAACATAACCAGCACGGAATGTATTCAGAGTTCAGAGGACTGTGCGTCTGTAAGTAAAACCTCAAGCTTTAACTCAATGTCACACCAGTAGATTAATAATGACTTACTTTACTCTTAAATATACTCTTTTTCATAAAAATATTCATATTTATTTATGCAAAAAAAAAAAAAAAAAAATATATATATATATATATATATATATATATATATATATATATATATATATATATAAGCACAACAACACACATAATTACAGAACATCAATATTTTTTTTTAACAGTGGCACTTAAAAAAAAACGTGTGAATAAAAATACACATTTTTTTTTATATTAAAGTGAAGTTGGTGGTGTTTGAGCATGTGCAAATCCCTTTTTAAAAAGTTGTCATACACATACAATACTGTACAATACTGAACATTATGTTCTCAGCATACCTCTGATTATTAAAACTATAAACGTGTTATTCCACAGGGCTTTCAATATGTGAAAAAAGATGGAGAGTGCTGTGGGTCGTGTGTACAAGTGGCCTGTATTTATGATGCTCCAGACAAAACCACACATGTCCTCCAGGTACATTTGTAAACATTTACAAATGTTCCTCAGAAAAAGAATCTGCTCTGTTCTTTATTCTTCATGCAGTCTGTCTGTCTTTCGTTTTGTTTAGGAAGGACTGAGGTACAATTTCACATGCTTGAATGTCACGTGTCTGAAAAGGAATGACGTGTTCACGATCAAGGAGAGTTATAAAAAATGCCCTTCCTTTAATCAAGACAACTGTGTGGAAGTAAGTAGAATCTCCAGCACACGTTAACACTCTTTGTATTTATATGCGTTTTGCTTTCCCAGGGTCTCTGCAGGTTTCATCAAGTTAAATTTAAGAAATTTTAAGACCATCACTGACTGTTTTGCTGTCTTGTACGGTGACCTTGAGTGTCACGATAGGTGCCTTGAAATAAAATGCATTATTATTATCATAATTATTATTATTATTGAAGTTTTACATTTATTGACCTTATTCTTCACCGAGTGGGCGCTGCCATTTGAATGTTTTTGGCTCGAGACTTCCGGTCTCATTCACTTCCATTCATTTTTAGACATTAAAAACTGCTCGTTTTGCTGTTAGATGTTGCAACCTTATATTTTCTTATTATATTCTTCTACTTGGTCTGTGTAGTCAAGCAAACTTTTGTTTGTAGAGCAACTAGTTTGACCGTTTTCTGCCATTTATTATTCCTAGTCATTTCTTCCATAGGCGACTGAATCGGAAGTTCTAAAACAATCGCGAAAACAGGCGCACTTCCACATTTTAGAATAAGGTCAATACAGGGCTAAACGCTAAGGATTTGTTTGTCAAATATTCTGTTCTAGTTGGATATAATATAATAATACAATAATACATTTAAAATTACAATAATAATTGTAATAAATATAAGTCAGGTCAGAGTCCTCAGCAGTAAATATGGAGAACTTTTAAACAAATGTTATTGTACACTCTCAGAAATAAAGGTATGGGAGCTGTCACTGGGGTGGTACCTTTCTAAAAGGTACAAATTTCTTAATATCTTAAATGTCCTTATTAATACTTTAAGGGTAGATATTAGTACCTAAAAAGTACAAAAGTGTTGCTCTTAAAATCTTAAGAGTACTAATATATCCTTTTGAGGTACCAATATGGACCCTTTAAGTACAAATATGTACCTTTTGAAAAGGTACCACCCCAGTGACAGCTCGCGTACCTTTATTTCTGAGTTTAAAGTGAATAGTTAAAACATTATGGTAAATAGAATTCAAAGTTTTATTGAGATGGACTGTGTATAGGGGCTGCACGGTGGCTCAGTGGGTAGCACGTTCACCTCACAGCAAGAAGGTCGCCGGTTCAAGCCTCAACTGGGTCAGTTGGCATTTCTGTCTGGAGCCTGCATGTTCTACCCATGTTGGCGTGGGTTTCCTCCATGTGCTCCGGTTTCCCACACAGTCCAAAAACATACACTATAATATTGAATTGGGTAGGCTAAATTGTCCGTAGTGTGTGTGAATGAGTGTGTATGGATGTTTCCTAATAACAAGTTGCAGCTGGAAGTGCATCCGCTGCATAAAACATATTCAGGATAAGCTGTCGGTTCATTCCGTTGTGGTGACTCCAGATTTACAGTATAAAAGAACTAAGCTGAAGGAAAATGAATGAATAATAGATTGAACACTTTTGTTTTAATCAGAAAATAATATGAGACTCTTTTTGGCTTAAGGAGTGCTGATGTACATGATATAAGCCATATATGGTTTAGTTAGGGATTTACTTTTACTTTGCATTTGGATACTTTTAATGTTGCTGCATTTGTTCCCCCGATATCGGAAATGGTATTGAACATCAATAATTTTAGATGTATTGTATTGAAGTTGGAAATTTCTTTATTGTGACAAGACTACTTTAAAATGTTGTGTATTAAACTGTGCGTGGAGTAATGTACACTGAAAAAAAATATTTAATGATGATTCCTTGGATTTACTAAATATTTTTACGTTAAGTGGTTGTAAACAATTTATTTGGGCTGAATTTAAACAAACAAATTTAGTCGAACATTATTAAACTTAATTTGTTTGTTTAAATTCAACACAGATAAATTGTTTGCAACAGTTCTGTATGCAACACTTTTTTCAGTGTATGCATGAAAACATCTAGCATACTTTGGGTTTTACAGTCAGTAAGGACAGACTTTATCATAGTCAATTACTTTTTTCTTACCTATTTGTAGGCTCCACACTACAGTCAATGTTAATCAAACAGCCAGAGACATACATAAAACATATTTGACTCACCTTTACCAGCATTTACTCCTCTTGAAACTTATTTTATAAAATGCTAACAAATTAAAATGGAAAAATTTATTCAAGCTAATTTAAATGAATAAATACTGCAGTGGTTGATCAATGCAGTAGCTGCTGTCCTTTTGTGAAAGTTCTTTAGGGGTGAAGTTTTAATTCTGTTTGAGCATTTGGTTGCACAATTCCGTGTAGTGGACAATTGAGAAAAGTTTAGCAAAACTATTTCTGTATCAATTTAGAGATTTGACTCATTGACAATACTTAAATCGTGTTTTTGAAGGGAACAAAGCGGTTTGATGAGGATGGATGTTGCCCAATATGTAAGATATTTTTCCCCTATATAATAAAATCTTCAGACTAAGAATAAGAACTTTACTATGAAATCCTCATTAGAGTCACAGTCTTACCTGTCTCTGTTTTCTCTCAGGTGAAACTCGTAACTGCGCTCCTGTGAAGAACGTTACTCGTCTGAAAGTCAATAATTGCACTTCCACTGAAGATGTCGAAATTACATCCTGCGCTGGTCACTGCGACTCCAAATCAATGTGAGAGCACTGAACACATGTAGATCACAAACATACTCTGCTTTTTAGTTTGAATCAGCAGAACTATAAAGTTTTAGTAACTGCAACAGCAAGGCATTCATGTTTTGGATGCCATGTGTGAAATGTTTCTGACAGTATGATAACCTTAGATAAAAACATTATGGCATATATCACGGTATTGTGATTACTGCTCTAAAATAAGTAGTTTTTTATGTCTCATTAAAAAATTACACATTTTTTCTCCATTGAACACAATATGGTTCATTTTACGAAACATTTATAGTATTTTGGAACAGTAAACATGTCAGGCTACATAGTTTGAATTAATTATTGACTTCTGCTATCTTTATTAGTTTCAAAAACACAAATCTATTTACAATACATGAAAAAAAACTTAAAAAAAAAAAACTTTACATATAACTTAGGAATGGTATATCATATTTGTTTGTGGTTTTAATACTTTGGCTTTTCCAAACCGCGGTAAACCCTGAAATCGGTTATCGTCCCATAGTGTGAATACGCCCTAAAGAATTCTGATCAATTAAACTAGCTGCTTTCATGCTACTGTAGGTTAATTACAAGTTAGATAATTGATTATTTACAGTAATATATTTTCTAAATATTTGACAACAGTTGGTAAAAGATTTTCAATAAACAAATCTTGATTATATGGCATTAGTACTTTGTTTTTTTTATTTTACCTTTATCTGACTTGTGTCTTATTAAAAACCTGCACAGGTATTCCATGTGGACCAATAGAAACACGACAAACAGCTGTTCCTGCTGCCAAGCGGAAAACACCAGCCCTCGAGAGGTGACACTGGTGTGTGAAGGTGACCTGCAGATCTCTCAGATCTACACGTACATAGAGACGTGCACATGCACTCCTGTCATGTGTGAAGACTATAAAAACGTAAGACCAGAAGATTAGGATTGAAACGGTCCTGATCTGAGCATTACGCCATCTGATGCAACAAATAAGCACAGGTTTTAAAATATACACCTGAAAATGTCAATGATTGCTGTATTAATGTGCAGTAATGGCTACTTTGCCAAATATTGCACCATTATTTTTGTTCCTTGTGATTTAATCTGGGGCATTCTTTTTAATGCATGATATAATACTGTATTTCCTCTTTCCTTCCAATGAAATGAATTAAAATCCCAATAAAGCATAATAAAGAGCATCAGATACTGTCCTCCGATTTTTCTTCTTCTCAGCGCCAGCCCTGTGAATTTTTTTTGTTTTTTGTTTTATTATATATATATATATATATATATATATATATATGTACAGTTAAAGTCAGAATTATTAGCCCCCTTTTGATTTTCTTTTTTAAGTTTTTCCCAAATTATGTTAAACAGAGCAAGGAAATTTTCACTGTATGTCTGATAATATTTTTTCTTCTGAAAAAAAGTCTTATTTGTTTTACTTCGGCTAGAACTAAAACAGTTATTAATTTTTTAAAAACAATTTTTGGGACAAAATTATTAGCCCCTTTAAGATAATTTTTTTTCCGATAGTCGACAAAACAAACCATCATTATACAATAACTTGCCTAATTACCCTAACCTGCCTAGTTCACTTAACTAACCCAGTTAAGCCTTTAGATGTCACTTTAAGCTGTATAGAAGTGTCTCGAAAAATAAAAAGCGGAAGTGAGAAATATTAGCCCCCCTATTTCTTTATTTAACCAGATAAAAAAACATTGCGATCAGGATCTCATACAAGGGTGACCTGGCCAAGAGGTCCGCAACAAACGATTTATGAAAAGATAATAATAATATTAATAATAAATAAAAAAATTCAGATAATTTAAAAATATAGTTTAGTTGTTCAGCTATACTACATTACAATATGTTAAAAACACATACATTGAGAAATGAACTGTTGTTGTTTATTAAAAAAGACAGAGCAAAAAGATTTGATTTGGATGAGCTCAGACATATTTAGTTCAGACTGAAGAGTATTCCAGGATGAGGAGCGGCATGACTAAAAGATCGCTTCCCTATTTCAGTTCAAACCCAGGGAACAGTCAAGTGATAAGATTCACTTGAATGTACAGTAGGGCATACTGGCTTTTTGACTTATGAAGAAAGGAACTTAAGTGTGAAGGCACCAGTCCCATTTAAACAATTGCAACAAACTTTGTAAATTATGCTTTTAAAAGAACTTACGACAAGGTATTACTGATATGTTGTGTGGTAAAAATTTTTTTAATGTGTACATGGAACTTCGCCTGTGTTATGGTACCTTGTTGCAATTTTAGTTTCCCTAACGGGATAATAAAGCTGAGTCTGAGTCTGATATATTTTCAAATATACACATAACAAGCATAATAGTTTAGTAATTCATAAATTTTTGCCCAGTCTCTTAAACTTGTGAGATTTTGTTTGGTCATTTTAGGGGTATTTTTCCAAACAAGACCCTATTTACAGTATTTCTGAGCCTGCAAGTTGCATTTAAGTATTAAGATCATCAAAACATGTCAAACTTATTATTGCACACCAATTAGTTATGTTTATGCTTAACCTTTAACAATAGAGCAAAAAAGAATATTAGAATTAATAAAAAAATGTTAATCTGCTTTTAAATAAAAAAGAGCTAATTTAATAGCGCAAGATTATTCATTAGAGAAAAGATTTTTTTAAATGTAAGATTTTTGCATCTGACATGAATAAGAATTACAATCAAGCATATTTCATCAAGAAAAAAATCTATTAAAAACAAACAAACATGCATAAAAAAACACATGTATTGGTTTAATAAGAAATAAACAATATAATAACAATTGTAATGGACATGTTGCATATTTACAGTACTTTTTTTTGCTAATACCAGACATCTAAGTACTGTTTATTTGCAAAATAAACAAAAAACAGGATATGGGTTTTACAATTATATAGAAAAGCAATGCATAAGTGGACCAACTGGTTGATCCAGTCTTCTTGCCTTATCACAATGTTTGAACACTGACTTTTGGTTGTATGCGAGCCCAGAAAGCATACTGTAAATTATGGATTTAATCCTGTTAAAGTGACCGATTATTTGTGCACCAATAGAAAAGTGTGTACAGACAGAAACTAAAAGGCTATCAGAAACGGTTAATATTTTAGAAAATGTTCATCAAAATGTTTGTCCATCCAACAAAAAATTGCATTCAGCAATAAAAGAAGCTAAAAACCTAATTCTTTCACCTTTATGATTTATTTATAAAGCCCAAAGTATGATTTGCCTATTATTTGCCTCTTAGAATCTGAAGCAAAAAAACAAATAGAATATATTTTAAATATTTTTATATATAAAGTTTGCAATGAGATTCCTCAACAAATAAAACAATGCATATAAACCAGTAAAATGTAAAGCACAAATAGAAAATAATAGTAATTATTTTAATAATAGTAAATAAATACCACATTTTGCAATTCACTTCAGATTTTTGCCTAAACATCTTAGTTCAAGCTGCAAAGGAAAAATATATATTTTTTACAGTGTACCATTTCACATGTGCAAAGATGAGTGCTGATAGGCCTGATGCCTAATGCCCCAGTAAAGTGAAGGGGATACTATACTGCTCAATGAGCACCGTCTTTCGGATAAGATGTGAAACCAAGGTACTCTCTGTGGTAAATCAAAATTCCATGTCCTGGCCAAATTACCTCCAGTTTAGCTTTGCACTCTTTTTGCACGCAAATGTGACAGTATACAGGTTAATATCCACTGCTCTATGGATATCTATTATGTTATTGTACAAAATAACCTGACTTAACATCCACAAACCAAGATTGAAACGTCTTCTTTTATAATTGTTCGGACAAGCGGCTGTGCTGATGAAGTAAAGCTGAAGTAAATCGCTGTAATTCATTACACACAAGCGCTGTTTTAAAACATTTTAAACTTGTAAAACTCACTCTTGATCACATTTGATGATGATTGATGATTCTAGCAAACTGAACAGACCTTTTATTCCCGGTTGCTTTGTGCACGTCCTGTCTTGTTGATTAGATTATACACGTGACTACCGGGACATGTTTATATGCAGCTGTTGATCAATTCGGTGGGCGGGGGGACCGCACTCCTACATAAAGTTGCGGTCGATCTGAAAACCTCTCCAATTGGTCCACCGTTTTTATGTTGTTTAATTGGAAAAAAAAACTGGGTGTGTTTATATCACCCCAATATGACCACGCCCTTTAAAGAGGTAAATGTTCTATGCTAAACGTCCAATTATAAACTTTGACACTGGTGAAGAAGAATGTAAATGTCATTGTAAAACGGTTTTAACGTTATTTGGGAATTTGTAAATACATTGCAATGGCAAAACTAATTGTGGTCATCTCCAAGTATTGTAAAGTAAGTCAATATGTTGATTTTTTTCTTAGTTTTGAAACCAAAATTTTGATTGGTCATGCTTAGGCCAAGATTTGGCATTGTCAAACATAATTTAAAATATTTTCATTGGTGAAGGAAAAATATTGGCAAACTAAATCAGTAATTGCATGTAGAATCATCGAGCTTTACTGAATTTTACTCAGGGAGTTACCAGTGCATTATATTGTGGAAGTTCTGTAGAAAAAAGTACCCCCATTGTCAACACTCACATCCTTGTTTACTCTGAAGTAAATTCAGTTTTTCTGCAAACTTCGGACATTCTTCTAGTTCCAAAGAAAATTCTAATTCACTATAAAAGGAACGAGGGGTGACAGTAAACTCACATTAGCTCTGGAGGACGGTCAGGATGTCCCAGATGTGGATGCTAAGATGGGTTATCCTGCTGGCGGGCCTGCAGTTCATACAAGCAGGTTAGAAACATCTCAAATAATTTATTAGTCCAGGAAACATTTCCAACAACCAGACATGTCATTGTGTTTACTGATTAAATGAAAGCACTAATTAGACTAAAATGTTTTAACAAATGCCAAGTTAAACTTTGTAGGTGTTTTATGTGTGTTTGATCAACACTTTAAACTTTCAAATTACATTTTAAGAAACGAAGACTTTACCTCCCTTTAATTTAGTTATTAAAAACTTTGTGTAATTTGAAATGGTTTGATATTAACTCTGTAATCTGTAATGTCCATGCAACTGAGCTCTGGATTTATTCACAATTTAATAAAATGACATTTGCAGTTACATTTAATCAACTTAAAAGTTTCATTGTCTTTATTTATATATATATAT